GCTAGTCCCAGTTCCATCTCTGCCTTGGCCTTCCTAACTACCCCCCTACATCCCCGAGCAACTGCAGAATAGTCCTCCCTGGTGATGACCCCTTCTTTCCATTGGGTGTAAGCCTCCTTTTTAGCAAGGAGACATTCCCGGATGCTTTTGGTGAGCCGTGGAGGCTTGTGTGCTTTCCTGCTCCCTCTGATCCTCGTTGGGATTTTCTTGAGTTCTTTTTGAAATAAAGAATTAAAGAAGATGAGTGAAATTTTGGAAGCGCTGAACTGGTTCCTTTAAAGTCAGAGTGATAATGCTGTCGCTACTCCTGAACCTTGATGGAGCTCTGCTTAAGTCATCAATTTCAGCACAGTTGGGGCAATCAAAAATTATTCTCTGTCATGCTGGAAAACTTTAAAATAGTTACAGCATTTAGGAATACTTAAGATAAAATTGTTATTCTGAGGTAGAGCTGTGAAATTGTTCTGTTTATGGTGGCTTTGTCAAGGACATTCTCCTGAAATATTAAACAGACACTTTTTTAAATGGCCTGGGGCCAAGTCGCAATTTGTTGCCATAAAGGGCATGTCCTATAAATGTTCATATTTTTTTTCTGTCAAATAATCATTTCAGCCACCAGCACAGCAATCCATGAGCAACCTACAATGAGGAAATTTGTAGGCTTAGGGAACTATTCTTAATTTTAGGGCGTCAGGAGGGTCTTTGTTTTGAACTGAAGATTGTGTTCTGGAAGAATAGCTAAGGTTAAGAACTGGTTGGTCCGGAGTTCTAATTGTTGCTGTGTCACTATGAGTAGATGGCTTCTGTTTCAGTCCCTCTGGCTAAAACTTTGAAGAGTACCCAACTTTCATTACGATTTAATAGGATTTGGAGCCCAAGTTGCATCTTCAAAAGTTAACTGCAACTGCTTAACTTCACCCTTGTCTGCAAAACACAGGTGGTACATTACTAGCTGTAAAACTTGAGCGAGATGAGAATTAGTCAGAGCAGCAGAAGGAGTTTGTGAAATCTGTACTAATTTTTCAGTGCTCCATTTCTTTCAGTAAGACACTAAAAAACTGTGAAAATGGGACTGGCTCGAGTATGGGGGGATGTTTGAAAGTCTGTGTTGGAGGTTACTGCTAAATACTTTGGTTTTTTCTCTGTCTAGGTTCTCCCCCTTCAGATGAGATTCATACCCTGCGTAACCAGTTGCTTCTGCTGCACAGCCAGTTATTGTATGAACGCTTCAAAAGGCAACAGCATGCCCTTCGGAACCGGCGCCTCCTGCGGAAAGTGATCAAAGCAACTGCATTAGAGGAACATAATGCTGCTATGGTGAGGGAGGACACAGCTCTGCATGCTGGGATGTGATGTAAACCAATCGGTTTTAAATCTATGACTGTCTGCCCCACACAACAGCTGTTGGAATTTTAAAATGTTTAAAAAATGTCATCTGAAATGTTGGAGGAAAAAAAAAAACAAAAACAGACAGGCCAGTGTTTGTAGAATGATCTGTCGATTAATTTAGATAGATCGTAATTAAAGCTAGTATTCTGCCCAGCTTTGTGTCTTGGTGAACACATACCTGCAAATGCCAGAGGGCTTTACTTGCTGAGTAATTATTGCAACCTAACCCATTGTTTATACCCTGTGGCCTTTGAAATCATTGATGAGAAATGGGGTGGTATGAAGCAACATACACCACTGCTAACCTAATTTCATGAATGCAACATCTGTTTTCAGTATGTTAGTTCTGGTCCCTTTAAAGAAATGCTGTAGAGAGAACCTACCTGTAGCATGTTTTTCATAAATTTGAAGGCTAAAAGCATGCTATTGGTGGGCTTCACTTTTTTTTTGGTCCTTAATTTAATGGGTGACATGCCACAGGTTTCTAGTTGAAATGAGAAGATTTGGTCATCTGACATTTCATGTGTGGTTCTGGACAGAAAGATCAGCTGAAGCTTCAGGAGAAGGATATCCAGTTCTTGAAGCTTAGTCTGCAGAAAGAGCAGGCCAGGTACCACCAGTTTCAAGAAGAACATGATAATATAGTGGCTCAGCTTCACAGCCAGATCAGACAGCTGCAGCATGACCGGGAGGAATTCTTCAATCAGAGCCAGGAGTTGCAGGTATGAAGTACAAACACTGAACAAAGCCATAGTCAAGAGAGAATGAAAATGTAAAAATAACCCTTCTAAAATTGTGATCTAAAATGGCTTTTCTTAGGTGTGTTACCATGTAAAACTGGGAAAGAGAGCCGTATGGTCAAGCTGAACCCCCTCCTTTGTGGATCTTTTATTTCACTTAGTGTCAAACTAGAAATGGCGGATTGCATGACTTTACCAGATCCTTTGGGAGTAGTGATTACTTTGTTTCATCTGTCACTATTGATCTTGAGGTGCTGGAAAACTGTTGTCTGTTCTGACCAATGTGAAATCTAAGTCTTTACTAAAGTTCTAGAGCTCTGAGTCGCTTGCTTTCTTTGAACAGACCAAGCTGGAGGACTGCCGGAATATGATTGCAGATTTGAGGTTAGAATTAAAGAAGGCCAATAACAAGGTGTGTCACACAGAATTGCTTCTCAGTCAAGTTTCCCAGAAGGTAAGAGGAAACGACTGATGTTTTGGCCTCCATCCTATATAGGGTTTTTTTTCTACTTCTCCATTTCTAATGAAGAATGTAATATTTCATTTGTATCTATATATGGAATTAAGGTGGAGGTAAGTTTTATTATGCTCAAGAAACAGCTGGTCTAGTTCTGATACCCTTGAAGTCTTGTGATGTGCGTTTGGATTATAGTTCTGCTCGACTTCTGCCTCTTAGCTTCTGACATAGGAAGGGGGTCTAAAGGGACCCCTCGTAAATGGAGAAATGGCTTTTTTCAAGAAACAAATGTTTGTGTGGGAAGGTTAACAGACTGCTCCGTTTGGTCTTGTGGGATGCTACAAATTTATCGCAGCAGCTTTCAAGAATCCTGCTTTTTTTGTCGTTACCAGCTACTCTCTCTGTACATATAGCTTGGCATTTTCCCTTTGTAGAAATAACTTATTAGGGTAATGTAAATCAAAATTAATAGTTATACTATTCCTTGGAGCTCTGATTTGTTTTTTTTTTTGTTTGTTTGTTTTTTTTTCCTCTCTCACTTTTCGAAGCTTTCTAACAGTGAGTCGGTTCAGCAGCAGATGGAATTCTTGAATAGGCAACTTCTGGTCCTTGGGGAGGTCAATGAGTTGTACTTGGAACAGCTGCAGCACAAGCATGCGGATACAACGAAGGTACAGTGTGCAGGGTCACAGGCAAGGCCTTTCTCAAAATATTTGCTCCAGGGTTATCGAGCTCAGTATCTTGTTGAAAAATGCAAAGAAAACTTCACAAATGGGTGAATGAATGCAGATGTTGGGCTTGGAAACCGGCTGCCACTTACGGAATATGCTGTTGTGTTTTTATCTTCCATTTTGGGTTAAGGTTATTTCTAACCCATCCTGCAATGAATTATTTTCAGAATTCTGGAAGCTTGAATTTTGTATTGCTCTGAACTAGATCTCTCTATCACTCCTTTTAATTTTTGGGATAGTGGAAAAATGAATAGTCTTAATCATGTCATATATATATGAGGGCTTTTATGACTGGTAGGTCTTGTTGCACCCTGAAGTGGTCCCATGTCAATTTGAGAATTATCTTGAATGCACTTGCTTTTGGTAGCCACACATGCCTCTAGTACTCCTTGTTCTTGTCTATGCTAGAATGTGACATGTAGTAGTACCAGCTGAGCTCTGAAACATGAACTTCCTGAGATGAATGTGGCATAGAAAAGATGATTTTTCAGCCTTAGGACTATCTAAGTGGAGAGGTTTCTGCTAGGCTGTGGTTCCTGGCAGTAGCCTATCTAAATTTACACCAGTGACAAAGATGGAAATTTTAAAACATTAGAATTTGAAGTGCACTTAGACTAGAAGTTAAAAATTAAGTGTGGTAAATCTCATTTTCATTCTCCTTGTGAGAACTTTCCCAGTGTACATTTCAGTTAAAGCACTTGGTTGATCTCTGGCACTTGTTGAGTCAGGAAGCTGTAGAAAATGTCGGAGTAGGCCTGAAAATTTAGTAAAATCTTAGATGCTTAGTAAGTTATTTGCAATGACTTTCAGTCACTTAAGTAATTTTCCCTGCAAAAAAACCTTCCAGAATTAACACCTGCTTTTCCAAAATCCATGCACACACAAACCTATTTTGCTGTAGCCCTTTCATCGATGATATGTCTTGCAATGAGAAGTATCTGGTGCAGTTCCAAACGATGAAAGGGTTTGCTTGATCTTAAAAAATCAAGTTGGAGAAAATCCTTTAAAAAAAGTAGAAGTTTCAAAGAGCTGAGCAGGTAAAAATAGATATATGGTGAGTCTTAACTGTAATCTTAATTCTAGTTGCTACAGGCAACTACTAGACTAGTAAAATAGAAAGGAAATTAGATAACTAGTGTTTAGCAGTTGCCTTCTAGGCTCCAAGATGCTGGCACGAATGTATCTTAATTGGCAGTGAGCTGGGAAAATGCACTTGATGTGTTGCCTTGCACAAGCATGAATAGCCTAGGGTAGTATTGCCAGTCTTTGCAAAAAAATCTGAGTGGGATATTCTTAGTCATGTTTGAAGTGAAGTTTTAAAATGCAGTGTCTTAATCCTTGTCACTCATTCCCATTAAGAAACAAATTCCTATTGATTGTTAGCTCCAGGCTGCTTTGTGGTACTTCTTTGATCAGCTACATGATTTTCACTTCCCCTGGTCAAGGAACCCTTTTTAACCAAAAGTGCAAGTGACTCTTAATGCTATGTACTTGCCCATGTGAGAGAACAAGCACCCAGTGAAGATTAATGGCAAAACAAAAATAATGTTGCTGTTTTCCTGGCAGTAAAAATGGTTACATTTGAAAGGACACCTAAAATGGAAACGCGTGGTACAGATCTGTGCAGCTTATACTTGGTGGACAGGGCTTTCGTAAGGAACACTGATATGCTAAAAAATTCCAGTGATGTGGCCTTGGGTTCATAGTAGCTTGAAGTACAGTTCTCAGTTGCCTGGTTTTTCCTTTTCTCTTAAAAACTATTGTCTGTCTAGTTTTAGACTTGATATTATAAAGACATTAAAATTCTCATCCCACTTGGCCAAGTAAATGCCTGAGAAAACAAACTTGGACTCCTGAAAGAAAAAGGGAATAAGGGAGGGGAAGAGTTGCATCATTTTACTCGAAATGACCAAAGTTGAGCCTCTCTTTTAATCCTTTAGAAGATGCAAATATTAAACTAAATGGAAAGAGTGAAGTTGACTTGGGTATCATTTATTAACCCAGACTCGTCTTCTCTTCAGGAAGTGGAAATGTTGCAGGTTACTTTTCGGAAAGAACTGGAGAAAGCAAAATTCTATGTTCAGCAGCAAAGCCAAAGGCTTGATGCCTCCCAGAAACGGATAATTGAATTGGAGTCTCAGCTTGCAAAGAAAGACCATCTCTTCTTGGAGCAAAAGAAATACCTAGAGGATGTCAAAATCCAAGCAAGGTAAGGGTTTCACTTCAGTAAGTGAGGTCTGTTTTACAGGTTCAAAAAAGCACAATGCAGTTTCTGGATTGAAAGTTGAGGGCAACTTAAAACTGATTACAATTGCCCTGTGTTTTTAGAGGCCAGCTGCAAGCAGTAGAGAGCAGGTACAAGGCCCAGAAAAGAATTACACAAGCGTTTGAGTTGGAGATATTGGATCTGTATGGCCGACTAGAGAAGGACAGCCGACTGAGAATGAGAAAACTTGATGAAAACGCAGAAGCAGCTGAAGTAGCAGAAGAAAGGTAAGGGCAGTTATGCAAAATCTGATGAACCACTTGCAGGTTGTTTGGGGTATAATGTGGTGCATTTTATCTATAATCTTTCCAAATCCCTTCCTTCCCCTTTGAAGCATTTTCCCCATTTTACAGAGAATGAAACTGAGGCAGAAGGCAGTGGTTTGCCCACGCCATCCAGCAAGTCAATACCCAGATTATTAACAGATTAAATTAGTTTTCTGGTAGCTACAATATTACTCAGATTTTGGCTGCAAGTGAAAACCACTTCCATTGTAGTAACATCCTTAAATGTTCTGTATGGACAACTTGAGCCACAGTAGGTCACACCAAGGATAAATCTTATTAATTGGCAACAGCTAAATTTTTTTAAATAATTAATTGCTCTATAACAGTTCAGTTGTTAACCATGTATGAGTGAATAACATGAAACTTTTCTTGTGGCAGAAATTAGTTGAATGACTTAAAAACTAGAGAGAACATTGTTGGCAGTACTGTCTGTTTAGCTGGGATGTTCTCCAGGGAAATGCTTTTACTGTACTGGCATTCTGCTCTTGCTGGCTTAAATAGGGACTTCAGGATTGCTGCTTTCCAAAAAAGGGGTGTTTTGGATCTGATCCAGGTTGTGGTTTATTAACCCTGGAAACAGCAGAACCTTCTTAGGACTAAAGAAGGGTTAGGAATTGACAGTTTCTGTTCTGTTGTGAAACCATTCTGGGTTTTGAGCTATTGTTCTGCATTATGTCTTGGGTATCCTTCCACCATCAACCAGAACTTGTCAGTTGGGCATAAAGCAGCATTAGAATAGATTCAAAAGCAACTGATGGCAAAGAAAAAGCAGCGACCTTGGATGTCTAGGTCAGGTAAAGGACAGATCTGCAAGTCCAAGGGAACTGTACAGCTCCTTCTTCCACAAAATGGTAAAGATTCAGGTGCATCCTGCCCTGGAATCTGTTAGCTTTGGACATGGATGCCATGAAAGTACATTTGTGACACCAGTTACTTAAATTATTCTCTGGCACATCTGTTATCTTGGCTATAGGATTAAGCAGAAGGAGAAACTTGGTGAGGCAGGTTCAAGCACATCAGCAATAGCAGACTTAAAACTAATCAGTCAGATGCCTCCTTTCCCAAATTGTCAATCCGCCTTGTGGTGTCTTGTTGCTACCATCGCTTTGACTCTGTCTTCCTGTCTCCTTTCAAAATAGGCCAGATTGTGGGAATGAAGGTTGTGCTGACCCTGTGGCAGGGTACAGTGAAGAAGCAGTTGGCAGAAATGGAGAGACCAGACCTCCCAGCACCCATGGTAGCAACAACAGTAAAGGTGGCAGCAGCAGTGAGTTGTCCACTCCAGAGAAGCCCCAAAACCAGAGATTGGGGCCATTTGGCAGTCGCTGGGAAACAACTGTGTCACTGGAGCCCTCCACTAGTGTCCCATTAACTGTAGGCTCACTCCCCAGCTCCAAAAGCTTCCTTGGAATGAAGGCACGTGAATTATTCCGCAACAAGAGTGAGAGCCAGTGTGATGGGGAGGGGGCAGTGATCATCAGTAGCCTTTCTGATACTTTAAAGACCGAACTCTGTAAAGATCCAAGCATGGAGGTAAAGACTCTGCCAGGCCCCGAGAACCCCAGTCCCTCGTTGAAGAACCAGGAAAGCAGTGTTGGACAGCTTCATATCATGGACTATAATGAAACTCATCATGACCACAGTTAAAAAGGAAGATAGTCAATCAGTGTTATTTTCATATTCTTGGCATAGAACAGGAGGTGTGAATGCAAGTTTAACTAAAAGCTTTTCTGTTTCATGGGTCTGAGTGGCTAGCTCATGCAGCGGAAACAGGATTAACGTCCATTAAAAGAAAATACCTACCAAATGATTGCAAAATGGATTTGGGGTCTGGAATTGTAATGCCCAGCCTAACTTGCTTCTCTCCTCAAATCCAATCTTTAGCAGCGTGTACTAATTTGAAGGGACAACTGTTAGCATTTGCAGGCATGTGTGTTCTTCTTTTTATTTTTGTGGGAGAGGTTCTCTCTTTCTCCTGTCCCTCCCCACCTCCACCCCCATTCCCCCCCTTTTCTCCTTCCCAGTGGGTAGCTGCATCCTACAAACTTGAGTGCAATATGAGGCCAAATTAACATGTAACCATCTTCATATTAATGCTTTGTTTTTTCTCAGCCAGCTTCGAGTTAGAGCAGTTCACTGTGCTGCCCTTGCAGGTGATATTTGGCTACTTTTCTCCTGGAAAGGAGTAAAAACCAATTTTTAGTGCACTCATCGGACAGTCTTTTATTTGGCTGCACTTTCCCCTCTGCTCCCCCATACCCGAACCTTCATTTTTATGTTGGACTCTGGTCAAATGACTGGTTAAAGAACAGTGCATATCTGCAAAATACTGCATTCACCCCAGTTCATAACCATTGTTTTTGCTGTCCTTAATATTTCCTGGCAACATTATGTGAACCAAGATTTGTTGGGGTCGGGGGAGTTTCAGTTTCCTTTGAGGGTTGTTTCCTGTCACTCCCTGAGGAACTGAAGGTTGTAATGCAGAGGCAATTGTTTTGGTTTTTTTTCTTTTGCTGTAGTCTGTTAACTCTCTTCTGGGGTGGGAGGGTTTTGTGTTCAGTGTTTAATTGACACTGGTACTGACCTGACCAGTTGTGAGAGCTGAACATGTGAGGGAGAGGGTTTTGGGGTGGCTCCAAGGAGGACAGCCTGTAGAGATTGTGTGCAAAGCAATAGGTTCACTAACTTTCAGGCAAGAATGTGTTTTCTTTCAGAAGCAGCAGCATTTCTCAAAGCTGGGTGATTCCTGTGCTGTCTTGCCTCTTTCGATCATGGTCTTTGTGCCCAGCCTACCAAGACCATCACATCCTGCATCTAAGGATCTCTGCTTTCTTTCCCAAGAGTAGCTTTTCCAAGCCTGAGTCAAGACCCATTAAACAGATGCCAAAGGATGTGTTGCCCTCTCTACCTCCTGTGCTCTTGCTCCCTTTGCTGCAGGGGTTCTTTCAGTTCTACCTGTATCCACCCAACTCTTTCCCTGTCTCTTAGGTACCCTTCCTCCTTCCACTGTCCCTGAGAGATTGTGCACTGCCTCTCCAGTGGATGTAGCTGAAAGTGAAGTCCAGAATCTCATCCTCCAGCCTTTCTGTGTTTGTTACTCCTTTGAAGCCAGTGGAAGAGTTTCACATGCAGAAGGGCTGTGGGACCAATGCATTATGGCATGGATCAGACTTGACTTGTCTTTTTGGCAGAAGAGAATCTATTGGTAAAGCTAAAAGCCCGGATTTGTCTGGGGCAAGGATCACTTAGCTTGTAATGCGACTCCTGTCAGGCTTCTGCACTGCACTGCATCAGTGTTCTACTTTGTAGATCTAGTTTTTTCTTAAATGCTTAATGTGGACAGCAGGTGTTTTTAAGAATCTTCCCTCCCTCCCCTCCCCATAAAAATAATGTCACTTGTCTTAGTGTGTTAGTAGCTTAACCCCTTCTTAACCTCTAAATAGGGACAGAACCTGTCAAGGAAGGCTGGCATTCTGCTAACTGGAGAAACAGAGCTGCTTTCTTCCTGTGACCCTGACAGTACCTCCCTTGTGTTTCCACCTCTCCCAGAACTCCTAGGTCTAAAATACATTTCAGCCTCTCTGACGTTAACATTATACTGAATGTCCTGCTCAGTGAGTCAGTCCTAACTCTGAAAGTGAAGGTGAATTTCAGTGGCAGTGTCAAAGCGCAAATGTGTGTGGAATAGAAAATAGAGGTCTGTGGTACGTGACAGACTAGTTTTGCCGACAAGTCTGTAAATGAAGATTGCATGATTGCTGCAGTAGAAAATGATTCTATGCAGATTTGGAGGCTTTCTCCCCCTCGCCCCTACCCAGTTCTAGTCCCTCAAAAGCAAATGGTTTGCACATGGCCCTTGAAAGGGCTGGCTCAGCAACTGGATGCAGTTTTTACAGGAATCCACTAGACCATCCTTTCAGTTCTCAGAGTGCTTGTGGACTAGGTTGCTACATGGCGATTTACTTTTTGGTTGCAGGGCTGTTTTTGTTGTGTAGTAGCAAAACTGCCCTTGTGTTCCCATAAGCTCATCAGTCAGTGGCCCTTTTGTATTTTAAAAGGGTTTTAGCACTGGCATGGTATTGGAAACCACTTTCAGGGTTTATCTATGGACCACAGAGATTATGGAGGAACAAACTTTTGCCATTGTTTTGTAAATCTAAAATCATGGATCTGCTGTATGTAGTTAACTTGCAGTTTGGTTAAAGGGATCCCATCAGTGAAGTGGAAACAGATTTTTTTTTTAACTGATTGCTTTTAGTTAAATCTGAAGATGCTGTCTTTGTCGAAAGTTGATCTGTTCCCTGCCTCGCTCTTTGTAAGCATGTTAAACAATCCACATTAAATGCCATAAATATGAAATGCAAGGAAAAATGGTACAATCTAAGCTAAAGAGAACCTAAACCAAAAGGAGGTTTTGCTGTCCTTATTAGAATGTTCTAAAAATGTCAAGGCAGTTGCTTGTGTTTAACTGTGAACAAATAAAAATGTATTGTTTTGCACTACTTTGTGTTGAGCTCTCTGCAGGCTGACCCTTGTGAACAGAGCATTGGTGGTGCTCTGGACTGAGTCAACATGAGCTTTGCACAAAGCAGAGGAGTATTTAAAACACCTTTCCGAGACGAGTGTCTTTTAGTATGGGCGTTACACAACAGAAGTGTCCTATATAAGCAAATTTTTTTTATTTTGTGCAAAATAGCCTTCATGCTGACATAACTGAACAATACAGAAACTGGATGTCATTTTAAGTCTTGGAAATCTCTCATTTCTAAGGTAAGCTAGCAAAATGTGTTTTGTGAGCAATAAGCTTACCTGCAAGCAATCTGCATACTGAACTAATTTCCATAAGGTTATTACCCTTTGGTCTGGGTGATAAAAGTGCGATCTGAGTGCTGTTCATCCTTCAAACAACCATAGATAGTGGAGAATCACAGCAGTTCAAAGTACCATTGTCCCCACAAAGCCTGCTTAAAAGGGAGTGTTTTATTCCAGATGGCAGCTTTGGGGAAGCTGTATGTGCCTTCCCAAAAAAACTGAGTATGAGTGAAGTCATCATCACCTTGAAAAGTAGCAAAGGAGTTGTAGGTATCTTCTGAAAATGAGCTAAGTAAAATCAAGTGGCTGTGTAGCTACCGATCTTTAAAAGATCTGATTTTTGTATTGGATATCTAGTTAGAATTTTGGCACTTAATGCTATTTGGTTAAGGCTGTGTCCATGCACATAGCTTTAGGAGACATTTACAAGAAGCATGCACAACCCTTGAAATTGTGTCCACTCCAAGAACCAGCTTTGATTTAACCTCTAATACAAGGATTAACCTTCACGTATGCAAAAATGTGGTATTGGAGACTGACTCGTGTCCCCGTAACACTGTGGGAACTGTACAAATACAACTTTGAAAATAGCTGTTCTTCAAACTTGAATCTTCAGTGGTACAGTTCATGCTAAAAAATTTAATTTTTATGCTCGGGCACTTTTTTTAAATGCACAGGGGGAGAGGTAAAGCAAGAGGGAAGCGCTGTGATACTTCTTCCCAAAAACTTGTATTTAGGGATGAACTTTCCCAAGTCAATGCAAAGCCTTTCACGCCACTGAGTAAACACTTTGAACCCAGTTGGTGGGGTTTGGGTGGTGCTGACGATGTAATTTGGGCCTTCCTGCGTTGAAGTGAATTTTACACCTGGACAAAAGCCAGAACCAAAAGAGTTTTGATTTTCACTTTTTTTAGTGTTTTATCACAGCACGGAAAACAGAGCATTATTTGCAGGAGTAATGCCATAAAGGTACAAAAAGAGAAATATAAAGCGTCTTCCTTCCTTACTAATGCCAAGCAGGATGCTCAGTATCTCATAAACACGCTTTGCACAGTAGGTAGGTGGGACTAAATTATTCATTTTTCATTTCATTTCCTGAAACAAAGTATTGCTCCTTGAATCCTGATTTATAATTTCACCCACTTCAACTATAGCTGGCTTTTAAAAAGATACTTGCTATTTCACCAAATAACCTGGGAAATGAACAAGTAGTGAATTATCCAGCTACCTTCCGAACTTACAT